AAACTGGTCTCCCAAAATTTTTCAAAGGTCTTTCTATGCCTGACAGCAGACGCCAACTGCAAACAAATTACCTCCCCTTTGGGTGAGATTACCAACTAAATTTACATTGACATTGAGAAGATTATTGCTGAATGTGGCTACATGGTGTTCATTGTTAATATCGTCATCCCTTCAGACGAAGACCCTGAGTCATTTCCTTGTCCATGTGGGTCGTCAGGATCATCTGGGTCATCTGGGTATCTGGATCATCTGGGTCTTCAATGCCATGCTGGTTGCCGGGGTTGTCCTGAATATTTTGGAAACCCTTCTAGATTCTGTTCTGGTTCCGCTTCATGCTCTTCAGGGGCTTCCTCCAAATAAAAAGCTTAAAAACACTCCAGGTCTGATCCAATATCATCACAAGCAAAAGAGGTATCAGAATCATAATGAGAGCTTCCTGCAAAGAAAGGAAAAAATGCCAAAAACATGAGTCAAAACAGGACATAATAAGAACAGACAGTGCTTTTAGAATTCCATGTAGATATGCAAAATTATTTTTTAAAAGTACAACTGTTAGAGTCGTTTCAGAAATATATTAGGTAGTGAAAGAGCAAAAAAAAAATCTCAGTTTGTAATGCCCGTGTTCTAGGCCTGTAAAAACAAAAAATTTTCTCTTTGCCAGATACACTTCCAATGTTATGCTTACCTCCTGACTGGAGCCAATGAAACATGTGTCTGGGATTCGAATGAAGTACTGCCTTTTTCCCTGCTTTGGTTGCCCCCGTTGTTCATGATATCAGACTCTGAGGGTTCCTTTCAAGTTTGGGGACACGGCATCACTGTTTAAAGGGGAAGAAACTGTGTTTTTAACCTGTGAATGAATGCATCAAGATTTTAGAAAATGCATACAAATTTATGAGTCAAATCAGGGCATACAGGGAACAGAAGTGCTGTCACAATTCAAAAAAAACAAAAATTATCTCTTTGCCAGATACACTTCCAATGTTATGCTTACCTCCTGACTGGAGCCAGATGAATCATGTGTCTGGGATTCGAATGAAGTACTGCCTTTTTCCATGCTTTGGTTGCTATCGTTGTTCATGATATCAGACTCTGAGGGTTCCATTTCAAGTTTGGGTGACACGGCATCACTGTTAATGGGTGAAGAAACTGTGTTTGTAACCTGTGAATGAATGCATCAAGATTTTAGAAAATGCATACAAATTTATGAGTCAAATCAGGACATACAGGGAACAGAGGTGCTGTCACAATTCAAAACAAAACAAAAATTATCTCTTTGCCAGATACACTTCCAATGTTATGCTTACCTCCTGACTGGAGCCAGATGAATCATGTGTCTGGGATTCGAATGAAGTACTGCCTTTTTCCATGCTTTGGTTGCTATCGTTGTTCATGATATCAGACTCTGAGGGTTCCATTTCAAGTTTGGGTGACACGGCATCACTGTTAATGGGTGAGGAAACTGTGTTTGTAACCTGTGAATGAATGCATCAAGATTTTAGAAAATGCATACAAATTATGAGTCAATCAGGACATACAGGAACAGAAGTGCTGTCACAATTCAAACAAAACAAAAATTATCTCTTTGCCAGATACACTTCCAATGTTATGCTTACCTGACTGGAGCAGATGAATCATGTGTCTGGGATTCGAATGAAGTACTGCCTTTTCCATGCTTTGGTTGCTATCGTTGTTCATGATATCAGACTCTGAGGGTTCCATATCAAGTTGGGTGACACGGCATCACTGTTAATGGGTGAAGAAACTGTGTTTGTAACCTGTGAATGAATGCATCAAGATTTTAGAAAATGCATACAAATATGAGTCAAATCAGGACATACAGGGACAGAGGTGCTGTCACAATTCAAACAAACAAAAATTATCTCTTTGCCAGATACACTTCCAATGTTATGCTTACCTCCTGACTGGAGCCAGATGAATCATGTGTCTGGGATTCGAATGAAGTACTGCCTTTTTCCATGCTTTGGTTGCTATCGTTGTTCATGATATCAGACTCTGAGGGTTCCATTTCAAGTTTGGGTGACACGGCATCACTGTTAATGGGTGAAGAAACTGTGTTTGTAACCTGTGAATGAATGCATCAAGATTTTAGAAAATGCATACAAATTTATGAGTGAAATCAGGGCATACAGGGAACAGAAGTGCTGTCACAATTCAAACAAAACAAAAATATCTCTTTGCCATACACTTCCAATGTTATGCTTACCTTCTGACTGGAGCCAGATGAATCATGTGTCTGGGATTCAAATGACAGATTACTTTCCTCTATCGTTTGGTTGCTGCCTTTGCCCTTCTCGTCAGCTGAAGGTTCAAGCTTCCTTGTGCTGTGAGGATCATCTTCAGCCGAAAGTTTGCTTAAGTTTTCCATCCTGCAATGTATACATTGTGATTACTTAGCATTGAAAATCAATTTGCATGTGATGTCCTTAAATGGTCAATGCTCGTACTCCCTCAATGGGGCTAACGCTTTCTCTCAGATAATTGGATCCAATTCTTCCTCAGAGTCATCTGACGAATGTCTTTTCCCTTTTCCTCCTTTTGGTAGTCCGGCTGTCCCCCTGATATCGTCTCTTTTGGGTTTCCCTTTTTTCGGCAAGTAGAATTTCATTAAAAAGAGGTCCAAAGCCACTTGCAATTACGAGTGACCAATTTGGTACGAAGGCGTGAAACCCATGAAATCCATGGTCAAAAATTGCCAGTTGCTTACCTTTACATTACTAAAACATTTCAACAATGTTACAATACAATGTGCAAGGTTACATAATTTCACTTTCATTTTTCAAAATGCACTAACGAAGCGGCATTTCTTGTTCTCCTGAAGAAGAAACCTTGGGTTTTCCCCCGGGGTCTGGATGTAAACAAACTGGGAGCGCCCGCTACAAACATAATCCGAACCCAAGAACGTTTTCAAAAATTTTTGTCAAGCCGTTCCCTCGTTTTTCGTTTTGTTGAGTCAAGTGAATGAATCTTTTTGAGAAATCGAGAAAATGTCATTTTAAACATTTAAAGGGGATTAAATTCAAATTACATTTTTGGGCTGGATCATTAAATTGGTCGGCAAAATTTGAAAAACAGTTGACGATCAGGGTGCGTTTCGGCGGTTAACCGCCAACTGCCACGGGAAGCCGAACGCGCCTCACCGCTTCGCTTGCATTCTGAACGTGAACGTTCGGAAGAAGAAGTAGGGGCCCCAAATTCTTTTTGTGAGGTTCTTTGTTTCTCGTGGATTCATGTTAGATGAGCATAGAAAAATGTTAGCTTTGGTGCACGATCTGTCGCGGCCTTCTGAAGATCCCAAAGTGCTGTTAACCTCTGAGTTGTGGCGCATCAAAGACGGCTACGAGTGCTTTGCGTTCAAGCCTTCATCAACTTTGAAATTTAACCGTCACGATGAGTTTGGAGTGGTCGACAAGAAACCCAATCTCCTTGTGAAGCACCCCATCCTGGCTCTAAGTAGTAAGTGAACTCAATCACCCTCCGACGCATGTGAAACCAAGTGTGGACAACTCCGCACTTGAAACTTTAAACGCGGAGGTGTGGAATTTCCAGTCCCCACATTTGCAAGGCAGAGCATGCAGTCTCCACGTTAGCGCCGTGCCAAGAGATGGGAGCTTTGCCAGTTTTTCCCCACTTGTAGTGTGGAGACTTCAAACTCTGCATTTGAAGTGTGGAGTTGTCCACACTTTGGGTTTCAGTGCGGTCGAGTCCACTTATCACATGATATTGCTGATATTTTAGTCCAGCCAGAACTTCAAATAGATGTCATTTTGAAGACCCTGTGAGTGGGTGGTAAGATTCCGCTCAGTAACCAATATGTTCTTTGCAGACAATGTGGAGGAGTTGAATGCCATCAAGGAGAAAAGAGTGAAACCTCCCCCTCGTCTGTCGATCACTCCTGTGGCATTACCACTGGATTCCTTCAAATTTCCTACAGTTTTGAAAGCAGCCAAGAAGGCGGCAAGTGATGCTAAGGTGGGCAGCAATATCGCTATCTGTTTGTGTGTTTCATCATTTAAGGGGTTTTTAAAAACATGCTATTTGTTTTTTTTTTCAGTCACAGCGGATACTGCATCAAAACTGCGGCTTCTAACAATGGAAAGAAAATATACAGAAATTCATGAAGGTCTCGAAGCAACAGGTAACGGTAATGAATAATTCTAGTCTTAAGTGTTCTCTATTGTCCAAATTTTCACCATCTGTTTTTCTTGTAGGTTATGACCAATGATGGACTAAAAGTCAATGGTAGCAAGACGCTTAAACGTAAAAAGAAGAAAGACAAGCTGAAGACAGTGGAGAATGGTGAAGGGGGCACTGGCATGATAGAGGACAATGCTGAAGGAGAGCAGGAAATGGTAGAGGAAGAAGAGAATCAAAATAAGCTCAAAGAGGGAAATAAGGAAATAGACGCTGAGAGAAAGGAAAGGAAGGCAGAAGGAGATGAAATGGATGAAATGGAAAAGGACGAAGAAAAGCGTAAGAATTTGGAAAGGCAGGAGGAGGAGAAGCGCAAAGAGAACAAAAGGGAAGATCAGGAGAATGGGAAAACAGAGGAAGAAGACACTCAAAACAAAAGAGTTAAGGAAGAAGAAGAAAAGCGTAAGAATAGGGAACTGCAGGAGGAGGAGAAGAAGCGCGAAGAGGAAGAAAAGGCAAATCAGGAAAAGGAGAAAAAGAAAAAGGATGAAGAAGAACTTCAAAAAATGATAGAAACTGAGGAGGAAGAACAGCGCAAGAAGAGGGAAAGGGAGGAGGAGGAGAAGAAGCGCAAAAAGAAAGAAAGTGAGGAGGAAGAACAGCGCAAGAAGAGGGAAAGGGAGGAGGAGGAGAAGAAGCGCAAGAAGAGGGAAAGGGAGGAGGAGGAGAAGAAGCGCAAAAAGAAAGAAACTGAGGAGGAAGAACAGCGCAAGAAGAGGGACAGGGAGGAGGAGGAGAAGAAGCGCAAGAAGAGGGAAAGGGAGGAGGAGGAGAAGAAGCGCAAAATGAAAGAAACTGAGGAGGAAGAACAGAGCAAGAAGAGGGAAAGGGAGGAGGAGGAGAAGCGCAAAAAGGAAGATCAGGAGAAGGATATGGAGGAAAAAGGCACTGAAAAGGAAAGAGAAAGGAAGGAACACAAGAAGCGCAAAGATGAACAAAGTGAGTCAAAAGAGACTGATAGAGACAAGGAGGATGGAGGAAAGGGTAGGAAGAGAAGAAGAGAAGAAAGAAGGAAGTACAAAGATGAGATGAGGGGCACAGAGGAGAAGAATCCATCAAAGAATAAACCGAAGAATAAAGATGGCAAAGACTCGAAGCACAAGGTAAGTTCAAGGAAATATTAGAATCTGTGTGAGTACTACACATTAAGACTAATATGTTTATAATAGATTCAGCAAACTACCTGCAATGCCTCATGTGCGCATTTCATTCTTTCAGGACACATGCAACAAACGAAGCCACATGGAGCTTGAGGAGACAGTCACTGAATTGAAGAAACGATTGGAGGAGCAGGAAAAAATTATCAATGACCAAAAAAAAAATTAGAAGAAGCTGACTTGGTGGCTCAATTAAAATGTAAGTTCCTTACATTCTTGCTTTTTTTTCTTCAATATCTTATCTGTCCTTGTGCAAAGATCTTGGAAGCTTTATCTTTGCCTGCTTCTTGGCTCAAAAGCATTTCATTCCGCCTCACCAGTGGGCATAAACCTGCATGTTTAGTATACGATTCATGCTCATGGCTGATACTTGTTTGTTCTGTTGCCTCAGTCTCAAATGTGTGATATGCTTTGCACCCTTTTTCATGCATGTCTCTTCTCTCTCTTTCCTTATTGCTAGCAATGCTGTCTTCTGAGGCGCCGGCGCAAACTGTACTTAAAAAATGTAAGCTGTCAAAGCTTGACACGCTCCCTGCGAACCTGGTTGATGAGGAGGTGGTGAAGCCGGGCGAGGTATAATCTGCCACTGGTCACATAATGCAGATGATTTATTTTTCCCCGGCCTTTGCCCATTCCATGTATTAATATATATATTTATACATATATTTGTCTTTTTCAGGTGAAAGTTGGGAGCAACCGGTTCATAAAATTGTCAATGATCAAAGAAGTTGAAAAAAATGTGGTATACCTTACAGCAAGAATCGAAACCCTGGCACATGTCTTCTACTCAACAGACATCCACAAATACAGTGTCAAAACAACTGGGACCCATGTTGTTGAAGAAAATGAGCTGGCTTCGATTCTACGTAAGTTAAGTGCCTTTAGCAAGTTGACCTTTGTCTTTGGTTTGCGCACTCATGATTTCAATCTTCTTGCAGAAATTCTACTCCATATGAAGTGGCAGTATAGATGTGAGGTGACAGCCAAGAAAATCCGCACACGGATAATTAAGTTTTTGTCTGAATGCCGCATAAAGCATGAGAAGATGAAGCAAGATAAGAAGTCAAAGAAGTTTTCAAAGAGAAGCAGCAGGAAGAGACCTAAGACAGACACATCAGAATCTGATGATGAAGTAAAAGCAAAGAAATCGAAAACTACGGCATCAGAATCTGATGATGAGGGGGACGGAAGCAGAGGTATGAAGAAGCCCTCTTCAGACTCAGACTCTTCAGAATCAGATGATGATGTGATGACGAAGGAAATTGGCAAGCAAACACATGTTAATAAAAGCAGCACCAGCGACAGTGAATCTTCAGAAAGCGACACGAGTTCATTAGATGACACGAGCTCCTCCAAAGGGACTTCTACCCCAGCATCCGAAGATGAAGCTGATGGCACTCCCTCACCAGATGGCAGCGCTGACAGTGATTAACTAAGCCAATGCTTCAAGTGATTTCTATAAATCTTTTTTTTTATGTTTTTAAATGGTTTGACATTTGAAGTATGTATGATTGTTTTAATTGTTATTTCTGTGATTATAGTGCAAGTGTGCATTTTTGTTTTTGTTTTTTAATTATGTTAATATTGTTTTTTTAGCATGTCTTCCAGTATTATGCTCTTATTATCCAATTATTATTGTCTCGTATTTTTACGAGTACTATTGTTTCTACGTTGATTTTTAAGTCAAATATGTGATTTCTGTGATCATTGTTGGTTTGGGGTGTCTCATTACTGACAATTTAAATAAATGTACAAATTTATCATGAAAGCTTCCTGTTTCTTTCCAATCTCAATGTTAGATCGTTGGGGACTTCCGTGGAGGCTGCGGAGGAGCACCGAAGTACTATCCTCGGGGACATCGGAGGGATGGCTATGGAGAAAGGGGGATTATCTACAGGGACATCGTAGGGACGGCTGTGGAGAAAGGGGGATTATCTACAGGGACATTGTAGGGACGGCTGTGGAGAAAGGGGGATTATCTACAGGGACATCGTAGGGACGGCTGTGGAGGAAACAGGATAATCCTGATGGACTTCTGAGGACGGCTTTAGGGAGACAAGGATAATCCTCAAGAATATCCCAGGGATCGTCCTTGGTAATCTATTTTGAAACATTTCGGACAAATCCCTCCAGACGACCCTGGTCGTCCCCATCTCTCCCCCGGGACCCAAGGGTCGTCCCCATCTCTCCCCGGGGATCCAAGAAATCCCCAGTTCTCCCCTGCTCCATCAGGGGGCAACGAGGCAACTGCTGGCTGGCTAGCCGGAAACTCGGTGCTGGCTGGCTAGCCGGAAACTCGGTACTCTCTGCACGAGAGTACAAGCACGCTGATACGTGAACGTATCATCTCGTATCATCTGCCAAAAAATTATCCAGGATTTACCGTTATTTTTCCTCAGTGTGTTCCCGCCCCAGATCTTACGCCCCTCTTGCGTAGCTGCAAGGCCGCTTCAAGGCAGTTTCCTTCAAGGAGCATACATCCTAAAATGCATTTAGAAGGAGGGAAAATAGAGCACGACCTCTGGTGCTGCAAGAAGGGCGTAAGGACTGAACGCTTCATGAAACGGGACCATGTAACGCTTTAGATTTCTTCGCGTAACACACTGTGATTTCAGGCGCTATAAACGTAGTGCATTGAGGACATCGCACCACACGTGCGAAGCGTCCAGAAAATGCCCTTTGCTAATGCATGGGAATTTCACTTTATGCAAACGCATTGCACCAATTGACGCTGTATTCATAGTTGGATTTTCAGTGGCAGCATCGCACCAATTGATGCGATGAAAACTTTTCTAACGTATTGCACCACGTTAAACACACACACTCACACACACACACCAGTGGTTGGCTCCACGGCTCGTTCCTGAAGGAAGCCGACGACGGCGTGCAGGCTCGGTGTTGCCCTGTGATCGTCCGGCAGTCGACTCGATGGTGTTGGCTGGCTCGCCACGCCTGCACTGTGAAGAACGGAACGGACGTCCGCCGCGTCGCGCCGGCCGCACTAGCGAGCAAAGCAAAACAAGCCGGCGGAGCTGCGGCGGCCTTGGGTCGATGCCGCCGCTGCCGCCGAGTGGAGGGGGGTGGAGGGGGAGCCTGGCCGGGCGAGGGGAAAGGGACGGGAGGCGGCGCGCGGCTTTTCGCGTCGTTGCGCAATAGATTCTGGCTCGGGAGCGCGCAGAGCTGGCGTGAGTCACCCGGTGGCCCAGCAGCGGTTTCGCGCGAAGCATCAACAGCTGTTCGGGCGTGGCCTGAGGTGTCGCTGAACTTAGAGTTCTCTCTCTCTCTCTGAGTGGGTGTGTGTGTTGCGGCACAAAACGTTTCGGCGATGGAGATCAGTGACAAGACTATGAACGATTTCGCATTCCGTTCCAAACCGACGAACTATTGGATATTAGTATATCTCTTCGCAAACTTTTCTCTAGGTAGGGGTCATTATAAAAAGATCCCAAGCTAATGAGTGACATTTGCAGTTATATGCCTTCCAGTTTGGCTGTTAATAGCATATGCCTTTATTTAATGATACTACGTATAGGAATTTGACTACAATTTTTTTACAGTGACGGCACCATCCACCCGCAGGTTGGCAATCCACATTACCGTCTCGCCCGGCCAGCGGCGGCGTGGCTGCCTCGCCTGTGTCGCCCGGACTGCAGTTGCATGCGTTTGCAAGGCGAAACAACGCGTTCGAATCGTCACCTAGATAGCCCAGTCCACCCCTTGCCGCTGCGGATGGGACGGATGCTCGACGGATGGATATGCACACCTCTGGTCTGGATTTCCTCCGAAGTACCCTGTCGGTCGGTGCCACGCACTCGTTTGGCGCTTCTGCATACTCTGCAAACTGAAGTGTGTACATAGTACACTCTTATTAGAGCATACTTCCAAGTACACTCTTATTTACAGCATACATGCTAGGCCTACGCTAAAATAGAGTGTGCCTGGCAAGTACACGCTAAAATACAGTCGATTAGTCCAGGGGGTGGCAACGGCCTAGGGAGAACGTGAAGCGATGCTCGCGCCGTCAGTGCAGAGGTTGCGCACTTGTTCGAGATTATGAAAACTAGACTGTGCTTTTCAAAACACTTTGCACCGATAGAAAGGGCTTGAAATTTAGGGTGCATTAGGCTAATTGATCCAGGAAGCGGAAGAAGGGGATAACTCAATTTTGGCCATTTTTCAGGAGAAAAAAAAACTGTTAGCAGGGAAAACTAAAAAAAACAAATGAATGTTGCAGATGTTAATAATTTCAAAAAGCTTAGTAAAATTTGGAAAACAAATCAAAAGTGTAAGGTCACTCCGTAGAGGATTTTTGCGACATCACTTTCCGTTGAAATGGAAAACAGAGTCAGCTCCCCTTTTATTTCCTAAACAAAGTGGAATTTGGAGACAAGTCAAGTGGAACAATAGTCTGCAAAAGTGTATGTTACTTGGTGTATTTTTTGGACTTAGCTCTTTTTTCCAACTTGAAATTTAAAATTAAGGGGGGTTAAGTTGAGTTGATTATTTTTACACTGGATCCATAAAAACACAAGTTGAGTTATATCCTTTTGCCAATTTGTCAAACGGACTCATGTGACTAAGGTTGAGTTATCTCCATTTTCAATGAATTTAGACCGTAAAAGGGGTTAAGTTGAGTTATACCCTTTTTCCATGTGGATTTTCTCCTAAACTGCTTGGAATTCAGTCAAATAATTTTGGGGTAATGATGTAAAACCCTTCTAAGGCACAATAATAAAATAAAAACTCAATTTGGGGATAAGTCAAGTTATTCCCTTCTTCCGCTTCCTGGATCAAATTTCCCTTTTCGAAATCCTCCCTTACCTAATTTAAGGTGCAGTAAAAAAACCGAAAAACGCAAAAAAACATAAAATTTTGGGAAAAAAAATCGAATGCGCCATGTTGATGTAAATGATTTCGCCCCTTTTGTTCGGTTGAATTGGAAGTATCGGGCAGTCTACTAGGCCTAATGCACCCCAAATTTTTTGCTCTTTCGATCTGTGCAAAGCGTTTTGCAATCAACGGTCTAGATCTTACGATCGAAGCAAAATAAGAAACCCCCTGCACTTTACTCGCGCATGGCTTCACGCGCCTCCTAGGCCGTTGCCGCCCCCTGATTAGTCCTATCTAAGAGCATGGGCTATTTTAAGTGTATTTTCCCAGGTACACTCTTATTGGCGAGCGATAGCGAGCCCATGCCGTGTTCGGGGGTACCAAAAAGTGACTGGTCGTGCGTCTGTCTGTCTGTAACTCACTCACATTTCTCGCAACTACCGCACAAATAGTTTCAAAATTTCCACCGGAAGGCTCCTAAATCCCCCCCAGGGGGATTTTTTATCTTATTTTCACGATTACTATTGTTTGAAATATTCAAAACATTTTTTTTTGAATTAGGTTCTTAGCGTGGTTAGGTTGGCAGGGGTTTGGCAGCTCGTAGAAATTTTTTCATACTTGCGGCCGCGACTCTCAAATACGGGACCTATAAAAACTTGGCAAATAAAACAAACTAAAGAGCAGAAGGGCTTAGAAGTGAGTACGGTAAATTTTTTTTCGATATTTTAGAATGATTAAAACCCCTCCGGGGGTCAACTCAGTGAAAACGGAAAATGAAAGTGACAATTATTACGCGTTTCGTCCGTCCGTCCACCCCCCCCCCTCCCCCGCTACAGGGGAATGTTTTAGTCAGTGGAGTGTGTTTGATAATTGCAAGAATGTTTTGGGTTTTTTTAACCTTTGTGAGTGTATTTCCATTTATATTTTCAGACACTTTTTTTTTTAGTTGTTTGCTTTGCTCAATAACAGTTAAAAAATATTTTTATACATTCTATGAGTAAAAACCAGATGCTAATTTCCCCCAAAATAAATAGTCTTTGCTGACTCTTGGCACTGATTTCGGGGAAAGGCTTCATTGCAATGCTTGAGTTTACTATAGTACTAACCTTAAAGAAAACCATATGATGATGAGTGTAGCGCATTAAAGGTTTGACATTGACATCAGATTCAATGAGACGATTCACTGACTTGGTCATATGATTTCATGAGACGATTCTTTTAACTTAATCATACATTGTCTGCGACAACTGGTAATTTGTGTTGGTCATGGTTTAATTGTCTGTTAAATTTGTACCACGAACTGCTCGTAAATGTAACAAGAAGGAAAGACATCAAAGAATTGATGTCACATGGGAGGGACTCGTTCTTTACAAAGCTAGATTGATGTGTCAGTCGCTGATCGTTACATGAAATTTTCCTCAGACGATTTGTAATTTTGCATTTTAACGAACGCTTCCGGTTTGGGTTTTCCTCTCAGGCAGGGAACATCGATGCATCGCGATATCTCGAGATATCGATTCTCGTGCATAATCGAATTTACACTAGAGTCCGTGAGTCCGGCCAAAAACCTGCTTTTTTTCCCTGACCAAAACCCTCAGAAGGACACATTTATTAAGAAAAGAATCAAATGAAACTTATTATTTCGTCCTCATCTCCAACATAAGACATGCAACACCTCCAAGAAATTTTCATTAGGAAGAAACCGCTAGCAGTTCTGAGTCATATAGCACGATTAGCGTGAAACGATGTTTCTTTTTGACCAAATTTCTCAAAATTATCCATTGTCACTTGGAAAATACCCTCCCAGTTTTTTGTTGGCCAAAGATCTCTGGTCGTTGTCGTTGTTGTTTGCGTTCCAGTGGCGTTCTATATCAAAAGATGCAAACACTTGAAAAGAGGTTAGTTTCACATAATGCACTAAAAACGTTTTCTCTTTCATGTTCATTTTCTCAGTTTTCTCATTGCAAGCAAAAAAAAAAATTCATTTACGATCTAGCGACTGACACTCCATCTTTCATTTGATACCACTCTCATTTTTCCCCCATGCTGTCAGATCTGAGATGAAAGATGTCCCCCAAAACTCATTTTTGAACACAATACTCGTTCTCTTCACATAGAGTTTTGTATGTTAGTGAGTGGTGTGTAAAGAACGAGTAAAAAACGATCTGTTCATCCACCTTTTTTTCGTCAATTTACAAAAATATTTTTAAACTTACAAAATTTTGCCTCAAATTTTGGTCGTTTCAGAATTTTTTTTTTTCCCATATAGTAAGGAAACAACGGACGAAAACGCACTTTTTCAGACTTGCTTTTACAATCATACTTGTAAATTAACGATTTCACCTGCAAATTTTAGAAGCAGTTTGTAAAATGATGAACAGATTGTCAATTTTCTTTGTAAAAAAAAAAAGTGCATTTCGTGGCACAAATTTAACAGGCAACTATTCTTAAAAATAAAGCTTCATTTGTAAGAAAAAAAATTTTTCGCGTTTAAAACGAGAATAGTCGTAAGAAACGATTTTATCAGTAAAACTACGATCTTTCGTCAGTAACAATAAGATTTCATCGTAAAAATTTCGAATTTATTCCTAAATTTATGAGTAAGTTTGTCGAAAATATTACAATTGTTCATGTCAGGGAAACTTGTAGTTAATTTACGAATTATTATTTGTAAAAATTACAACACCAATTGTTGGGATTACTGTTGTAAAATAACGACTTCTCTTAACAGTGTAATACGTTGGTGCAGCCTTTCACCGTCAGACATTTACAGTGAGCTGAATGTCGGTTAAAATCTTGTGAAATCCGACGAAATCTTTAGCCGTAAGAAATCTTGTGTCCCCCTACAATGTGGTTTTCCCCTCGGGCTGCATGTATCCCTGTATTCCCCTCCTCGGTACGGTAAACGTCTTCTTTCGATGCACAGTGAAGACACTGAAATTCCAAACGCTATGAGTATTGCACGTATGGTGCAATGCGTCGAGATATCGCACCATACGTGCAATGCCTCAGCCATATTGCACCTTACGTGCAATGCATCCCGAAAATGCCCTATGCTAATGCATGGGAATAGGGAGGCATTGCACTTCATGTGCAATGCTTTTGCATTGCACCAATTGACGCTATACTCATAGCGTTTGGATTCTCAGTGGAGTGGCACCAGAGTTAACAGGCGTGCTTCCAGGCGTACCCCAGG